TTTGGATTTGCTCCAAATTTGTATGAGTTCTTTCTTAGTTCATGCTTAACCTTTGCACCAAGTTTCATGGAAATCAGACAAGAAGTTTCTACGTTATGCTGCTGAAAACCAGAAAAAGCGAGCTGAAAACACAACCTCATTGGCGTAACCGAACCCCCTTTACCGCCATGTTAACGAAAGTGAAAAATCGTTACTGTATTGGCACTGTGATTTGGATTTGCTCCTGATTTCTATGGGTTCTTCATTGGCCCATGCTACAACCTCTCACCAAGTTTCATGAAAATCAGACAAGTCGTTTTCACGTTATGCTGCTGAAAACCACATAAACCGAGCTGTAAACATGGCCTCATTGGCGTAACCGAACCCCCTTTACCGCCATGTATATGAAAGTGAAAAATCCTAACTGTATTGGTACTGTGTTTTTGATTTGCTCCAAATGTGTATGAGTCATTCCTTAGTCCATGGTCTACCCTTTGACTAAGTTCCATGAAAATCAGACAAGTCGTTTTTACGTTATGCTTCTGAAAACCACATAAACCGAGCTGAAAACATGACCTCATTGGCGTAACCGAACCCCCTTTACCGCCATGTTAACGAAAATATAAAACCATTACTGTAAGTGCACTGTGATTTGGATTTGCTCCAAATTTGAATGAGTTCTTCCTCAGTCCATGCTTTACCCTTGCACGAAATTTCATGAAAATCGGGCCAGTAGTTTTAACGTTGTGCTGCTAAGATTCAGATAAACGGAGCCGAAAACGCATGCGTAACCCAAGAACTAAAAAAAGGTATAAATCCGAAATAAAAGCACAAAAATGGGAAATACACAATCATTTTGGAGATTATAAAGCCATACAAGTAATATATCAATTCATTGTATCAATAAATAATGAAATACCAGCACTTATGTCATATTTTTGCTGAGGGAAAGTCATTTTGTTTGTTACTGTTCCTTTAAGAAAAAGACCAAATCACTTGGCGGGGCTGCTCATCACACACACACACACACACACACACACACACAAACACACACACACACACACACACACACACACACACACAGTTAAACACGGCATCATTCAGGTTCCCCTCTCACCTCCTAAAGGGATTTTGAGCTTTAAAGATAAAAACCTGTCCTTGTTTTTTCTGTTTTTTGGGATTTCCACATGGATGAATGTATGATTGTGTTATTTTTCTAGAAGCGGACGGCTAGCGCACGTTGTTGACTCTTTAATAAAGGCATCCTTAGAAAAAAACTGGGCTCTGACTTCTTATTTTGACTCCTTTAATGTCTCCAATGATCTGTTTCCTCAATCTGTGGCTTTTAAAACTGGTTTCACATCATCTTAGGGGTCATGTTTTGCTTTAAAAGCCTTTAAAAATCAACTAATATGATCTCAACACTCATTTTTTACTCCCATTTTTTTTATAAAATCCTTTCAAATGTAAGGTTTTCCAAAGAAGAACTGCTGTTTTGATTAATAAAAATGTTTCCTCATTGAATATTATCTGTAAAATGTCCTTTAAGGCAATGATAGATGGGTAATGTCTTTACTTCTGCAGGACATTACGTCAAAAAACAGAATTTGCTTTCAAGAATTGTGATAAAGTCATGGTGGTTCTGTTCCTTCAAATGATAAATATGTGATATATATAATGAAAATTAGGTGGTATTTTACCTTTAGAGATGGAAAATGGAGCTAATCCTACAAAATTGGAGAGAAGTTTAGAGTGTAATTAAAGTCACTTTAAACAGGAACGCTTGCTCTGTTGCAGCTCGGGTTGTTTTTAGACTCGTTTTGAGAAGAAAAAGCAGCTTTGTTGAGGAATTTGGGTTAAAATCGAATGGTTCCTGTACTTTCTACTGCTAAAGATACGATAAATACATAATTAGGAGGAAAATAATCAAGCTAATCAGAAAAACAGACGGTCTAGAAGTCGTTAAAGATCTAAATTTAGCGTTTTTTAAAGTCACATTAAACAGGAACACTTGCTTTGTTGC